TGAGATCGACCACTCCCTACCCTAGGGATAACTCATTGACTGTGATAGATATAGTCGAACATCAGAGCCTCCGAAGGAATCTCTAGAACGTGTGTAGAGGACGCGTGGCGAAGGTTAAGTAGTCTACGCTGATAACGGTTCCTAATACATTCTGACACATTCCTGACACAAAGATAGTGGAGGCATGAGGTTGTATGATCGGGCAGCTGTGGCAGCCAGCTCAGCTCGCCCGAGCAGCTCTTAGGGCAGGTAACTCGCCCCTATAAATAGGGGCGATATTTCTCGTTTTACACACGATCTCCCATACACTTACATAATTTTCACATATATTCTTCATCTGGGGTTAAATCCAGAAAGTTCTTGGGATACATGGTAACAAAAAGGGGAATTGAGGTGACCCCAGAGAAGGTGCGCGCAGTGGTCGAAATGAAACCCCCCACGAAGGTGAAGAAAGTGCAGATCCTGACTGGTCGAATAGCTGGCTTGAGCAGGTTCATTTCCAAGGTGGTGGAGAAGAGTGGTCCACATAACATGTAATTTTCATGCTACACTTCCATGATTGATCCATGTCATTTGATTGTATTGATATAATTGATCATCGATGGGCTTATTCATGCTTAAAATGATGAATTTCTCTTCAGTCCTATGTCATTACGATTAATGGACGAGATTGATAAAGGATACTCTTGTTTGTGACAACAAATTTTTAGCTCGTAAAGTAATACACGTCTGTTCGGTTGCATATTTTGTCCAAGTGGGAGACTATTAGAAAAAATATATTTGGACAACATAGGTAAATTAAATGGGTATAGTTGCCATAATCTCATTTAATTAAATTGATCTACTAATTTGTAAATTTGACTAAAAGAGATCTTCAAATTGTTATGGATTTAAAAGTGTATATACCATTATGAGATTTTTTGTTCATTGAGGGACCGATTGAAAATCAATACATGAAATTTTTTAAATTACGGCCCAAACGATGAATAGGTACGGGCATAATTCTGAAGAGGTGTTTTCTCCCTTTACAAGCACCATCATCTTCATTTTAAAAATAACACACATAAAGAACATACTATATACAGTATACACAATCTGCTATAAAGTTTCGATCGTTTGGATGTACATATCCATATGGAACTAAAGAACTAAAAAGTAGAAGAATTTTCAACTCATGAAATCTTGTACGCTCCCGCATTTATTCGACCAATTCTTAATTATTTGAGATGAATGATTTTGAGATTTGATTAATTTCCCTTTGAGTTAATATACCAACAGAGTAATGTTGATAGTTTATGGGGGGATTTTTGTCAAGAAGAAACTAGTCAGAAAGAGTAGAAAAGAGAAAAGGAGTAACTTATTATGTCTATAGATGGAAGTGATTGATTGTGATGGACTAAAAATGTCAGTGGTGTATAGAACTGAACGAGTTAAAGAGGGAGCCCTGGGAGGATACAAGAGTGTGAGTGTTTTGATCATGCGTAGAAGATTAAGACGAAACAGAATGAAAAATCTCGATGAGTACACTCAAGTTAAAGTATTCAAAATTAGAAGTAGAATTGAGTAGTCGAAGACATTACTTTGATGTAGAGTTTTGACTGTCTATGAACACTCCCTTTGACAAGCTATACGACTTGGGATTTTACGGTGTCCATTGATTTTATCATATGTGTAAATGGTAGAGAGTAAGCACGATGAAGAATCTCAGCAAATACACTAGTCAAGGGTAGCTTGTCCGGGCTCCAGCTCAGTCTTAACTTTTTGTGTATTCTAAATTTATTGCTGTAAAAAATATTTTAGCCCATTTTATATTAATTTAGGTTATGATAAATTTATTTTGCTCAAGTTTATTTAAATTTAGTTTAGAATAAACCAACAAATTATATATGTGTGTATGACGTTACTCTAATTCGTAAACTTGTCATTTTATTTTTATTATTTTATTGTTTGTCAAATACAACTCACATTGACAATTTTATTCTGAGATACTATCCATTCATATTATTTACATTATTTCATATGTGGTATACATTATTTACTTGTTAATTTTCAAATAGATGATATTTGGGTATAAAAAATATACTTAATATCATCTAGTCATATAATTGTTCAATGAAAATACATGTAAATCATCACAATTTACGTGACATTTCATGTAATAAGTATGTTGGCTGACATCTCTAAATGGTTCATTCATCCCATAGTAGTATTTACAATAAAATGTATTATTTTTTTCTAAAATTGAACTCAAGTAGACGAGAAAAAAATACTTACTATTGTTTAGATAAAGAATTAAACAAGTCAATTGAAGAAATACATTTATGAGTTTATGTTAAATAAGGGAAATCTCCATATAAAACAACGCCACAAAGTATACCAAATGATGTTTTATTTTATAAAATAGCATGTCACATTTTTGACAATTTATTCTCATTCGTTTCACTATGTGATTCAAGTATTTTACATTAAGTATCTAATATATAAACTAATTTTTAAAACCTGGTTCTTCTTTAATATATAGCATTAGTGATATTCTTCGAGCTAAATTGAGTTAAATACGATGTGTTTCACCTCGTATTTGTTTAATAAATGAGAATATTTGACTCGACTCATTTCCTAATTTAATAAATTGAACTCGAGTTTTACGAACAAAACTAAGTTGTGTTCACTTAATAGTTCAGTTCGACTAACAACTCCATTGACGTAGCAGCCCAGGATAATAAAAATTACTGGCTACGCACCTAAAAGTGGGTAATTGAAGACATTACTTTTAAGTTGAAGAGTCGAATTACATGTTCTTTAAAATGTCAGTGAGTACTACATAATATGGTTTTAGCTTTGCTTAGTTGTTGTTGGTTCGATATCGTAGGCAACACATTTTTTTTCTTCATTATAAAATTTAGGATTAATTGCTAAATAAACCCTAATCTTTTTGCGTTTGACAATTTTATCTCAATCTTTGGGTAATTGCAATATAATCTCGACCTCAATTTACTTCTTGCAAATTTGGGTGTAGAGTGATTGATTTTAGGGATTTGTGGACCGATTTTGTGTCCAAGTCTCCCATTGACACGGGTTTTTATGTCATCCACGTAGCAAGTTGACAATTTCCATGTATTTAATGTATATCCACGCACAAAGCCAAAAATTCCACGTCGATCTAAGCTACTGATGATGAGCTCCTCCTAGATCTGGAGTGAACCGGTAAATATGAGCTCCGATCTGTTCGAACCGCCTTCAAATCGACCAGTTTTTTTGAAGGTTTGACCGGTTTTAGGTTCGACTTGCAATAAGTAAAATGAGGTCTAGATTATATTGCAATTACTCAAAGATTGGGATAAAATTGCCAAACCCGAACAGGTTATGGTTTATTTAGCAATTAACCCTAAAATATAACAGGAGAAAAAAAAATGTTTTTGTTTTGTTTACTTGGATAGCCAGAACAAGACTGAACACCAACAAAAAAA